AACAACAACAACAACAACAACAACAACAACAACAACAACAACAACAAGAAGCAGCATCATACCTGATATTATTTTTGAGAACTTTTAAACAGCTTTGGCATTTGAACGTGGTGTTGGTTTTTTGCGCCTCCATTTTTCTCGGATCTCCCTCGAAGCGGCCATAGTAGAAATCTGCGACCAGCATGACGAGCTTGTTCGGACCCGTGTTCGGGGCTGACGGAGGTTGACTTGCCACAATCCCACGGCAGCACTGAAATTAACAACAAAGGTGCTTTTGCTCCGTAGTCCAGAATCTTATTTAATTTATTACTGGGACCACATGAAGGACATCTTTGATTAACCTTGAAAAACATCTGTATCCAAATCAGATTATTATTGCTTTATAGAATATAAATAGTAAAACAATCTAATAATTTACACATAATGTCACAAGTTTCATTGTGATACACTCAGACGTGTTCCAGCGTCAGGCCATTATATTATATAATATATTATATACGGACCATTATATGAAACTTGAGGGATTCCTCTGACAGAAACTCTTCTTGACAATTGGGACAGTTTTTCTTTGCGATTCCGTTTTCCACTCTGACGGGTACTTTTCCCGGAGCTGCAAAAACAGCCAGATGATCCAATTAACAAGACAATAAAAAACTATCTGCAAACGACAATTATTTTAAATTGTTCTTAAAGAGCCGTCATCTCGTTAATGGTAGTAACTTACTAAAATCCAGCTTCGCTTTCTTCACAACATTATCTACGTCTTGTGACGTCAACCCCCGTTTATCTGAATAAAACCAAACCAAAACGTTTACAATCTGATCATTTCCGGTGTAAAAGGAAAGCGAACGCAACGTTACGAGAATCACTTTTGTTGATGCTGTTGTCCGTCACAGACACAGGCTTCACTGAAATGCCCTGCAGAGTCTGAGAGTTGAACCGTTTCAGCTGCTGATGCCCAGACTGCGTCGAATACATGGCAGGGCTCTGGACATTAGACAACGTCACCACGTTGTTCTTAATTTGTTGGACCTGAGGCCTGTGGACCCCTCCTGGTATCACGGAGGTTGGAGAGACCTGCTGTAAAATTTGTGACTGAGGGGCTGAAAGACAGAGAACACGAACCTGGTCTCAAAAATTACAAACTCTCTGAGGCGAGTGCAAGAATGTCCTCATCTTGACTGTACCTGGTACGATTGTAAAAGATGTTCCAGGGGGATACTGTGCCCCAAGAGCAGCGATAAGGTCGTTGTTGTTTGCCAATCGTGGAGAAGCAACAATGAACCCCTGAAAACAAACAAAATAATTATCCACAGGAAATGACTTTTTATACTGCATAGTTTGGTTCCAAAAACCACTTCACATGTAAAAATACCTGATTATTAACTATAACAGGCTGCGGAGTCATTGACGTCAGGGTGGGTGATGCAGTTTTTGCTGCGGGAACATTCAGCGGCAGCACCATCGGTGAGGGACCAGCAATGGATTGAGGAGAAGGGGATTTTATTTTCTGAGTCAATGCACTGTTCTTCAGACGAGGCGCGGGGTTAACTTTATCATCTTTTTCATTATTGGCTGTAAAACAAGGCAGTGACGCATTTATTACCCAGTCTTGACACACAAGAAAACAAATCCCCAATAAACCGAAACAAGCGGTTAAAAGATGAGCAAAGATCCAGACATACAGAGCACTCCAACAAAGATGGGCTCGTCGTCATCATCATCGATTAGGTGAACTTGAGGAACTTGTTTTTGCCACGGCTCCAGCTCCTCCTCCACACACTCCATAAAGAGTTCAGACATCTTGGACCTGAAACGAACAACATAACACATCTAACGAGCTGTGACCACCACAGTAAAAAAAAAACACACACACAAAAAAAAACAGGTCAAGCTTGTTGCATACTCCATAAGAACTAAGAAAATTGTTCTTTTTTTTCTCTCGAGACATCAAGAACAAGAACAAAGTTGGCTTTGGTCAGGACATTTCATGCTTCACAAGAAACTCAAGTGAAAAACTCCTGGGACGTCTTTAAAGCGCGTTTCTGATTATCGTTGCCTACTTCAAATTTCTGACACAACAGCTTTCAAAAACCACCTGAGAAAAAAAGATCTGGCCAGTTGAGCTGCAAGAACTCCCGAATCAGGACTGGGAGAAAATAAACTATGCCATTCTTTTCTTGATGACCTGAAAGAGAGAATAATTTTCTCTGTTCTTGTGGAGCCTGTAGCAGATTTCAGTGTTTAATATTGTTCTTGCACAAGGTGTGCACAGCCTCTGTAAACAAATAAAAGTGGTCATTCAGAAATAAAAACGCATGGTCTGTACTTCCAATTAATAATATTTACCTCAAAGATGGAGAAGGTATAAATACCCAAATTGGGGCTTTTCTAGTTGGAGCAAAAAAAAAAAAAACGGTCTTCTTGTTAGCTAATGGTCATAATCAGGTTTAATAATAATGAGTCAGCCAGTGCTCCCTCAGACGTCTCCAGTTGGTCCAGAACGCTGCTGCTCGGCTTCTACCTGGAGTTCATAAGATGGAGGACATCACCCCCACTCTGGCTTCACTCCACCAGCTGCCTGCTCATTTTAGAGTCCATTGTAAGATTCTTTTATTTGTTTTTAAAAGTTTAAATGGTCTTTCTCCGTCCTTCCTCTCTGAGCTGCTTCACCTGAACTCTCCTGGTCTGTGCCTCAGGTCAGCTGATCAGCTGCTCCTGGAGGTGCTGAAGTCCAAACAGAGGCTCAGAGGGGACAGGGCTTTTTCTGTAGCAGCTCCATTATGGAATGATCTCCATCTTCCCCTCAGTCGACCCCTTCACCGTCACCTTTAAAACTTTTTAAATTGCATTTTCATTCCCTGACTTTTGACACAGTCTGAGACTTGCTGTGGTTTATTTTTACTACGGTTTTATTGCTTTTTTTTTGTTTTTATTGGTATTAATGTTTTGTTTAAATTTTTTTTATTTTACATGTTCATGAATATCTAACCAGGATAATCACTGTTAAATATCACATCATGTTGCTGCTGATCTGTTTCATGTTGCTGCTGATGTGTTTCATGTTGCTGCTGATCTGTTTCATGTTGCTGCTGATCTGTTTCATGTTGCTGTGTTCATGCGTGCTCATCTGCTCACACAGACTCATGTTCGTGCTGCTGTTCGGCGTATTCTTTTTATGCTATTAGTGCTTAGTGTATTTTTAGTTGATGTTTTTCTTAGTTCACATCTTAGATCTTATCACTGTTTTTCTTTTACATTTTAATACTTTTGTTGGATGTAACTGGGACCCTGTGTACACAGTGTCGTTCACATGTGGTGGAACGACAAATGAAGAACTTTGAATCCTTGAACGTTTTGAGTCACTTAGTCATTTTATACATCTCCAATGAATGTAAGAAAGACTCTACTAACATGGCTCTTCTCCGATAACGTTCTTCAATAAACAAGCTGGTTGTGTACAGCACTTTGTTGCAGCTGTGGTTGTTTTAGTGCTTTATAAATAAAGTAGTGGTAGATTCAGATTCAGAGATTCTTTTATGTCATGTGCACCATATGTGGTACATGTGGTGGAACAAAATTGTGTACACAGGGTCCCAGTTACATCCAACAAAAGTATTATGTAAAAGAAAACCAGTGATAAGATCTAAGATATGAACGAAGAAAAGCATCAGCTAAAAATATGTTAAGCACTAGTAGCATAAAAAGAATACGCCGAACAGCAGCACGAACATGAGTCTGTGTGAGCAGATGAGTACGAATGAACACAGCAACATGAAACAGATCAGCAGCAACATGAAACAGATCAGCAGCAACATGATGTGATTTGTCACAGTAATTATTCTGGTTAGAGATTCATGAGTCTAACAGCCTCAGGGTAGAAGCTGTTCCTCAGTCTAGTGGTTCTACACTTAATGCTCCTCAACCTCCTTCCTGAGGGGAGCGGGGCAAAAAGTGTGTACTGGGTGAGTGGGGTCCTTCATGATGCAGGTGGCCCTCTTCCTGCATCTGGAGGTGTAGATGTCTGTGATGGTGGGGAGGCTGACTCCAACATCTTCTGTGCAGCCTTCACCACTCTCTGCAAAGCTTTTCTTTCTGCAGCTGTGCAGCCTCCATGCCACACGTTGAAGCTGGAGCACAGGATGCTCTCCACTGCACACCTGTAGAAGGAGGTGAGGACTGAGCTTCCCAGACCAGCTCGTCTCAGTCGCCTGAGGACGTAGTCTCTGATGAGCTTTCTTCATCAAGCTGGAAGTGTTGTTGCCCCAGTTGAGGTTGTCATTCAGGTGCACACCCAAGCACTTGTAGCTGGAGACCACTTCCACCGCAGATGGTCGTATGTTCGGAGGGGTAGGTGTGTTTGCTCCTTCTGAAGTCCACGACCATCTCCTTCGTCTTCTTCACATTGATGTGAAGGTTACTCTCCTTGCACCAGCTCCAGGTGTTCCACTTCCTGCCTGTAGCTGAACTCATCTTTGTTTGTGAAGCATCCAACCATCGCTGTGTCATTAATTCATTCAACCTTTATTTAAACAGATAAATCACATTGAGCCTAAAAGACTCATTTACAAGTGAGACCTGTTTGGACAGACAAAAACAGCGGTAAACTGGACACATGTAGGAGTTGGAGGCGAAAACATTCCTATCAGACTTTTTTTTTCCTGCCTGAGAAAAAAAACTTCTAATATTTAAAAAACACCTCGCACAAACAGCACATAGTGACGTAGACATTCTGCAGAGGGGGGGAGGTGAGATCAGTGAGGAATGTTCATAGATGCTCTCGAGGTCACTGTAAGAGTTCTGATAAGCATGGAATAATCAGCCAATGTCCTCCGGTGAAATCCAAAATCATTGTCAAGGAAGAGGGCTGGCACAAGAGGAGGGGGTGTGCCAAAGAGACCATCTTAGCACCAACATAACTGGTTTGTTCCACTTTGGAGTAAATTGTTTGGGGGAAGAATCAGTTTTGTGTTGTGCATTTCCTTGACTGATGAAGCCTTCTGGATGGAAGGTGAAACGTTTAAGCAAAAAAAATAAACTGTCCAGATGACCTGACTGAAAATTTTTGGATTCTCAAGGTATGTCGAGGAATGGCCAAGAATAACGTCTATGAGAATCCAAGAGTCCTGAAATTATGACAAAGTTTCTTCAGTTGGTTTCATCTGGTTATCAGTTGGAAATTCCTCAGGGAGGGGGTGGTGAGCGTCAGATCACATTTTCTCCAGGCAAATTCAGATAAGATGACCTTCAAGACCAGCCAAGGGAGCCAAATTCAAATAAACACACAATTGTTTTGGGGACAGACAGAACTTAATGACATCTACCTTGAGTTTGTGTTGGTCCACTCTGTTCCGAAATGTCCAAAATACATGGCCACACCTAAGGAACGTGCCTGAGTAAAATCCCCAAGATCTGATCCATTCTGCCCAAAACTTTGGGTCCGGATACTCAAGACACGAACCAAGCAATCATAAAGGCAAGCAGCGTGATCGGGTCCAAATTCGTTGCCGACGACTTCTTTGATTGATTGATAAAACCAGCAACCAGCCGAATCCAAAAAGCAGGAACCAGTTATCGAAAATCCAATTAAATATGCGTCCTTAAAATCAACAAATGGCAGCAGAGATAGACATATCCTCAAGTCTTCCAAGTCGATGAGATATCCAGCTGTGTGCGTGCCAACAGGGCAAATCGGCTCACCTAAAGCCTGTCTTCTCTTCAAGAAATGTTGTAAATTGAGTTGAGGGACCAACTGATCCAAACAAGTCCATAATTATGGTTCAGAAGAAATGCAAGAGAGTCTCACAAGCAGTTTCACAGACAGACAGAGCAGCAGAGCAGAGAGGGAGGGGAGAAGCATCCGATCTCGGCAAGAGCAAGTGGTGAATGTGATCATCTGCAAACTTTATAATGTGACAGCCTGGATGGGTAGGTGTACAGTCGTACTAGTACTACTACTACTAGTAGTAGTAGTGGTAGAAGTAGTAGTAGTAGTAGTGGTAGTTGTAGTGTGGTAGTAGTAGTAGCAGTGGTAGTAGTAGTGGTAGAAGTGGTAGTGGTAGTAGTAGTAGTAGTAGTAGTAGTAGTAGTAGTAGTAGTAGTGGTAGAAGTGGTAGTGGTAG